AAATTCCATTTTCATGCAAGTCACTTATACCAGAATGTTTTTTAATATCTTTAAAAAAGTTTCTATAAGTTTTCCATAAAAAACTTACCGTTTTCCACTTATTCATTATCATAATGTTTGGATTTTTGTATTCCACGAATAAAAGTTTACTAATGAACAGCAATAACTTTGTTATATTAAGATAACGGTAATAATAAAAAACAAATCTCTTTGTTTTATAAGCTTTATTTTACATATAAATAATTTTCCCCATAAAATGTAAATTCTTGATGTTATTTGTCAAAAAATTGTTTAAAAATAAGCTTTTTTGACGTGGAGTTTGTGAAATTCCTAATAATTAAGAACAAAATTAAAAACAAATTCAAAATCACTTGGGAAACTTTAATTAGTAAAAGATCAATATTACAGAGTACAAAATATTTTCTCTAATAACACGTGGTTTCAAAACTTGCCATATAAAGATATTAGACACATTACAACTATTATAAGAATACCAATCGGTCATTGTTTAATAAATTAACATCGTTGCAAACTGAATTTGGTGAACAACGCTTACTGAGAATGTGACCTAATAAAGGACCTAAATAACATACTTTTTGAATGCCATAAGGATCATTCCGGGTTTTGACTTACAGACAAAATTCATTTATATGAATTATAATTCACCAATTACTTTATATTACATTTTAAATAAAATTACTGAAGAATCAGTCAGCATTTTGATAAAATTCCTTTCAATTAATAAATTACATTTATAATTCACAATGCTCAATACTTTTTGTATTGGATTTGAAAAACGAAATCGACTGCTTGTGTAGTCGGTACAACCAGGAACACATTTTTTTAACTTTTATTCTTTTTTGTTCCATTTCAACGATGATCAAACACAATTTTTGTAATTTTAGGGTGGCCGCACACAGAAAGAGCAAAACTGTTTTAGTCAAAAACGTTTTTGTTTGAAACGAAAACGTTTTTGTTTCCACAAGAAACATTTTGTTTTCAAGAGAAACAAAATGTTTGCATTAAACCATACTGCAATCAGTTTTATTAAAGATTTGGACAGATAACGACGAAATTACACTAGTTTTCTTGGCAGTGGTTCCTCCTCAAGGACGAAAAAACGCAAAATAAAAGACAATGTTGGGTGCATCCTATAATGAGAAAAAGAACTGCTAAAAAAACTCTCCAAACTTTGCTTCAACAATTAAGGGTCTTTTAATTGATAGTTATATAAAGGAGGTCTGGCCTCAATCAGTACAATTAATTTTATTGCGTCCACATCCATGTTTACACACAATATAAACATGCAAAATATCTCTGTTTTCCACATGTGCTTCTTGTTGACTACTCGAGCGGTTTCAAGAAGGGAATTCCAAAAACACGTTGCGCCTGCGTACAATGAAATGTTTCGACACAAAACGACGATCTGGTAGGGTGGCCGCACACAGAAAGAGCAAAACTGTTTTAGTCAAAAACGTTTTTGACTAAACGAGTTTGATTCTGATATTTCCATATAAATTAAATGAGCGGACGCACACTGATTAGTCGTATGTCTAAAGCATGTTTAGGCTCATTTAGTTTCAGTCAGTCTGTTTGATGTTGATTACCGGATCGTCGTTTTGTGTCAAAACATTTCAATGTACGCAGGCGCAACGTGTTTTTGGAATTCCCTTCTTGAAACCGCTCGAGTAGTCAACAAGAAGCACATGTGGAGACAGCGATATTTTGTTTTTTCGTCTTGTAGGAGCAACCACTGCCAGAAAACTAGTGTAATTTCGTCGTTATCTGTCGACATCTTTAATAAAACTGATTGCAGCATGGTTTGTGCAAACATTTTGTTTCTCTTGAAAACAAAATGTTTCTTGTGGAAACAAAAACGTTTTCGTTTCAAACAAAAACGTTTTTGACTAAAACAGTTTTGCTCTTTCTGTGTGCGGCCACCCGTAATCAACATCAAACAGACTGACTGAAACTAAATAAGCCTAAACTTGCTTTAGACCACATGACTAATTAGTGTGCGTCAGCTCATTTAATTTTATATGGAAACATCAGCATCAGACTCGTTTAGTCAAAAACGATTTTGACTAAAACAGTTTTGCTCTTTCTGTGTGCGGCCACACTAAGATGATAATAACAAAACAAAAAACTCAATTTGCAATATGGCGTCCCAAGCATGTCCCAAGTCCCAATTTAAATCAAATTTCGCCACCGCACATGATTTCGTCTCCCCGCATTATTATACCGAATGTTGGTAGACGAAACAAACTTTACAAAAGAAAACAATATGATCAGCTACTAAGTGCAAGTATGAGAAAATGTGAAGTAATACCATCGGAGTAGGTATGCGGTCCTCGCAGTATGCCACTCTGCTCATAAAATTAAAAAAGGCGATAAACTGAAGTGTGACGATAGGAGGTAATAGCCTTAATTAGTACACGGTATACAAAATTCTTGGGCAAGAATCTTGAGAAATAAATATTGAACTGGTTTATGGAGGTAAAGTTTCCCTGCAATCGTTTTGTGTGTGGAGATTTTAGACAAGCATATGATGAGATCGATAGGGTCCAAAATGTTATCGTGCAATGGAACAATGTGGATATACCAAAGAAACTGATCGGGCTAGTTAAAATGAACACTTAGATAACTCTACGTGTGAAAGTTGCTTTGGCAGGGTCACATATCAGATCAATTTACGGTTGCAAAAGGCTTGAGACAGGTTGATCCTTTATTAACTAATATTATTCAATCTTAGTGTTAGAAACTGTAATCAGAAAATGCAGGCATGAAGGTGCGAAGAAACGATCAATGAAAAATTAGCAACCAGTGTTTGGCTTTTCCGCTGACGATCTAACTAACGATCTATAGCAAAAACCGAGACAGAATTAAGAAAAAGTTGTGAAGAAAATCATCGAAGAAGCACAGAAATTCGGATTGAAAACTAAATGAAGACAAAACCAACTATATGTATAATTGGGGAGGGACAGAAGGGTAAAAAAAGCAGACTTTAGGTGAGGTCAGTAAGTGGTAAAAAGCTACAGTTTGTAAAAGGGTGGGACAAATTTGAATACTCTGTGGTGTAGTTTTCGATGAAAATGAAAAAGAAAATGGGAGTCTCGCAGCCAGAATATGCAAAAAGGAAATAAAAAATTAGGTAGTTTAAGAGCCATACTGAACTCAAAATACGTTTCTAGACAAGGTAAATCCAGAATATATAAAACAGTAATTCGACCACAGTAAACATATGCTGGCGAGACATAAACATTAAATAAGATGGAAGAGGATACTCTGGAAAGATGGAAAGGAAATATTGAGACGCATATTCGGAGGACGGAAGACAGAAGATGTTGGAGAGAAGAACCACAATGAATTAATGGCTTTAATACCTGTAATCCGATTTTATTGATTCTTCTACAATAATTATAATCATCAATGTTTTTTACATAAGAAACTTTCTTATCTAATCTCCGCGGCAAATAAAACACTTTAAGTGAGTCAGCATTTTCACATCTGAGTCTTCTTCTAACAAAGCTATTAACTCTTTAGTAGTTAGTGCCATCTTTATTCCATATTTCGAGAAATTTACTGAAATAAACATATGCACTACTATATACACGTATTCACATGATAATAGTTTAAGGTAAATGACCAGTCATTGCCACTATAAGAAAGTTAAAGCTAAAAACCATATAAAGCCAAAAAGCCAATAATTGCCACAAATTAATTTCAAAATACCAATTATTGCCACCCCAGTCATTGCCATACAGAGAAATAACTCTACATTTTTACTGAAAAATATTGTTTATTAGGCCTCAAATACATCCACTGTCAAAGTAAATTCATAACGATTCCGTTCACCAGTGGATAAAATAATAGGGGTCGGCGGTATGCCTAAAACGTGATTTTCGTTAACAAAGTAGATGTATTTTTCATCACAAATAAAATGTTTCTTTTTAGCACTAACAATTTCATAGACATTACTTGTAAATCAAAAAGTGTCCATAAGACCTTGGATAATACAAACAATATCTGTATGTTATTGGTTTTTTTACCACCTAGGAATTTCACAAGTACATAGTTTCCCACACTATTGTGGTTAACAAGTTCTCCGTGAGTTTAATGGGCAAAATTCTTTTGTTAGGGTCATCACAAAAGTATATGTTCATCACAGATGCTACCACTCTCGACCCAGTCTTCATCCTTTCCATCGTCATCAAAATATCCCGTTTTAGCTTCTCTTTGAATAGACATGTCTTGCTTCTTTCGCCAATTTTTCTTTGTTTTTTCTTCTTTCTTTTTCTTTTCATTTTCTCCTTTTAAGTGATATTCACACCAAGTTTTTGATGTACCACGGATGGAATCTTTTCCTTTTGTTTTATCTTCTTTGTCTGAGGTTTTGGTCTGGCCAAAACAGATGCTTTCCTAAATGGGGTAGGAACTTTGCATAGACTCTCCAAGTGTACTAATGTGATGTACTTGGTTCAGGAGTAGACAATATATCTGAGCTATGAGTACCAGAGATATTTGGTTGGAAATTTTTTACTGGTGTGCGGTTGAATTGGAAATATGGTAATGTTGTTTGGATGGTACATTTAATTTGGTTTGGTAGTGTTTCCATTGTCCATTCTTTCCATATGTTAAAAAGGGATTTATCCTCAATAGAACCATTTCCAATCCTGATTATCATTTAAAGTAAGCTTGCACCTATTTAAAGTTTTCTTCACCCGGCTTTCCTTCAAAATACTTAAGTGCTTAAGTGACACCCTTTTGTGTCACAAAGCTTGTCAAAAACAAGCGAAAACCATTTGTCACTGGGACGCCTATGAATAAATAATTTCTCTCTTTCTGTAGAATTTATTTTTTCTGAACTGTAATCCAAAAGCATGAACTTTTGAAACAGAAAATGTCTTTCTGATAGATGTAAAATCCATTTCACCAAGACTGATTACATCTTCTTTGGTTAAAATTGTAAAAAGGTCCATAGAACAAAATAATGGTGACTTTCAATCTCTCTTATGCCTCAAAGTACTATGAGGAAATCGATGAATTTTTGCTGCCGTATAACTGCTGGGAATTTCCTTTTTCACATTCTCTAGGGCTTTGGCCAATTGCTCTTTCGAATAATTCCGTTTAGGTGCCATTTCTGTATGAATAGAATACTTGTAATACCAAATATTAATGTAACCAATGAATTGCCACTTTAGAACAAGTAATTGCCACCACTGGCAATAATTGGTAAAAGTAAAGTTTTTGTAAAAAAAAAAATATGTGGCAACACCGTAATTTTAAATAGTAAATTTACACATTATAATCAATTAAAAATAAGCCAAACCAATAATGGTCACATTTCTTTAGAAATATGTACCCTTACTGAATTTAAAACAGCAAACAAATGCAGTTTAGAGTATATTAAGAGGAGCACATGTGTAAATAATTTTATAATACAATCATTTACAAAAGTGAATAAGAAAAGAGAAAAATGTACTTACCTTAATTTTTTCATAAGAAATCACAAAAAATAGGAAGAAATTTTACACAACACTACTCTTAAGGGGTATACACAAAATGGTTGATGCTTGGGTATTGTACAACACGTATACAATGCCAAACTTAATAAAGTATTAGTACTTGCAAAAAATATAATTTGATTTCAAGTAATTTTCTTATTTTCTTAGAATTAGGCAGTCAGTGGCAAGAATTGGTAGAGTGGCAAGGACTGGTTGTTTACCTTAGCTTAATTCATTTTAATTTATATGAACAACATATTTTTATATTTATATAAACAAATAAACACAAGGAAACTGTCAAATTAATATAAATACAACAAATGTAAAGTTTACAGGCCACAGCAATTATATAAATAGAGAATGATGTGTAATGACTTGTAAGTATTTTGCAAAGATTTCTGTTTTTTGAAGTACTGTATTAGGTACTCAATAAAAACAATAAAATTTTACTTTATTTTGTTAAACAATTATTCACTCCGTGCGTGACTGGCCTATTGTCTTCATCATGAGAGTTTTGGACCTCCAAATTAAAAGTTAAAAATATGTTAAATATATACGAAATTGACAATTATGAATAATTAATTACTTAATTATAATTCTTCCAATTTATGTACAAAATAAATGTAATATTTAAAACTGGGTTTCTAAAAATTCATCAGAATTTATCTTTGCGGACCCCAAACGGAAAAGAAAGGGAAAAATCTAGTACTGGCAAATCAAGAATTTTATGTGGAAGTGCATGTTAGTTAAAACAATAGTAGTAAAAGTTATTATATAAAAGCTAAAGTCATCAGGCAGGCTGCAGTTTAGCTTGAAACCTATTGAAATATCAATTAAAGGTAAATTATTTAAATTTTCCTATTTTAATTGCATAAAAAATGAAATTATGTGATATTTACTTTTTCATATTAATAGCACAAATCCATCTTTTTCTTTTCTCGAATTTATATGTAATCTTTGGAAACCTATATAAACTACACTCACTATTTGTGCTCTTATTTGCACAATTAAATACGCAACATGTATTTGCACCCATTTTTGATCAAATTTATGCGTAAAAGATAGGTCCAATTTTGTCATATTTCTGCCGCATACGCACCGCTGACAATTGTTTTCAAGGTACCCCTACCATGTTACACACGGAGCAAATAAGATACCGGTATAAAAGACACATGATAATTTAATAACTATATCGGTCTTAGATTTAATTAATTACTTATATGTTTAAATAAATAATTAAAATTTTTTTTGTACACGTCTGCAAAATTGATAAGTGGAATATGATTTCGTTGAAAAGTTATCGTTAAGGGCTTCGTTAAGTGCAATGTTGCAAAGTAATCACCTTGAATTAAAAATTGTTTTAGTATAGTTAATAAAATTCACGTGACTCAGATGGCTATAGATCGCCAGATGTCTGTTGGGTGTCTCTCTGAGAGACTGAATCCCAAACAAAGAAATGATGTCATAGAACAAAATGCTTCATGGATTTATTACCCAAGATTGTAACTTGCAAATATGATCCACATTTGCGCATTGATAATGGATCTATTCAGAACATTGAGGTAATGAAATTCTTGGAAATAAGCTTGGATTCAAAACTAACTCATGAACCACATAAACAAAGTGAGTTCAAAATTAAGTACACTCTGTTACATCATAAGAAATCAAAGAGAAATTGTATCATTTGATATCCTGAAACTGTTATACTTTGGTTTAGTACAGTCAATACTTCAATATGGATTAATTTTCTGGGTTTCTTCTGGACACTTGGATAGAGCATTCATAGCTCAAAAAAAAAGTAATATGAGCCATGTTTAACATGACAACATTAGAATCTTGCAGACCACTTTTTATAAAGGCAAACATACATACTTCAACTGACAATGTATGTTACAGGAAATGAGCATACACTAAATAAAAACAGTGATGTATATTCTTATAATACCTGACAAAAGGTTAATATACATCATCCATTCTCACATTTAAAAGTGACACAGCATGAACACTGGCATAGCTTCTCAAAATAAATGGAAGAAGACTTCTATGGAACACAGAAAGAAATATGGAGAATGATCAGAGGACAAAGAAAAGAGATGAACAAACTAATAAAAACGAAAAACTGTAGCGTTTACGCTACTGATTAACCCTTAAGATATTTTATTACCCGCCTACGATCGATTTATAAATCGACATTTTCCCCACACGCGCATTAGTCGCTTCAAAGATTGAAGATTGATCGATTTTGTTGCGGAAGCGAAGCGGTCAGTTTTTGGTCAGAACTCATACGCAGCCACGTCAACCGTGAAATTTTTCACCTTAAAAAGTGACGGAATTGGAGCAGAAAAAATAATTTGGGGAGAATAAATTAATTCATATATAAAATAGAAATAATAATAATAATAATTACATTTTTAAAATCAATATTAATATAAGAGTTCCACATAAAAGGAAGATTTTTTTTGCGTGCTGCGGTTCCATGTAAGTAATAATTTCATACGTATTATCTCTTCATCATATAATCTAATTTATCATTGTATTTAGTAATTTCTTTAGAGATTTATTTTTGAGTTCCGAAATAATTTAAATATAAAATTTCCTTGATTTACTTGCAAAGAACAGAAGGTCATTTTTCTATATAGTTTAAACTAAATTCTGTTTTAGTCCATGTCCGTTATCATTAAGTTTTTTTGGTTCTTTTAACCTAACTTTTTTGGTGGAATATAAAAGCGTTCTACAAATGTTGGTACAGCCTCTGTATTCTGCGCATGTTCTTTTCAATGGCGCAAGCCTGTCATGTCTAGGAAATGAACTTCGAAATTTTGACATGTTGACATAACCTAATGTTTTGATGTTTTGTTTTGTGCAGTCAAATCCATGCTGCTACACCTATTGAATTGTATTTATTAAATTAAATAATCATTTGAGATTCCTCACTTCTCTTGAGAGTATTCCCTCAAGGATATTAGTAACTTTGAATCCTTAGATAGTAGCAAGTTGTGTATGTTAAACCGGTTGGATTTTGCTGTCACCCAGAGACCATGAACTGGTTGTGGCTTTGTGCCCAGGATTCGTCTTTACAGCCACAAACTGATGTAAACCTGCCAAGAGGAATTTTCCTATGGACTTATGGGGCTGTAAAGATAAGTTTTTGACTGTGTAATTTTTTTATTCTGTTACTATCTATTTACTGTATAACTCATCATATGCATATATGATAAGGTGAATACCTTTGTGATAATTTAATTTTTGATATAATCTAAATTCTAAAATATTTGGGGAGAAGAAAATACATTACATGTTATTATTGGTTTTTTAAATAGGATATACAGAGTCTGACCAAACTCACTTTTTTTTGATATAATATTTTTGTTAATACAATACATTTGATATAATACAATTTGATATTGAGAGAGGGAATAAATTTATGTGGTTTTTTTGTTAAATATATATAATGAGTATTGAAACTCACTTTTGGATATAATATAATAAATTGTAACAATTTATCATTGTTGATACTGTACAATAACAGGTAATTATTTCTCATTTTAGTATAACTATTTAAATTTAAATTACTAACCTTAGTGTTAAGACTTAGCTACCCTACGACTATTCTTGGTTATACTAATATTTCATATTTTATTTGGCCAGTGGTAGTGACTATTCGTTGTTGAGGGCTATTAGGTCCATTGTATGTGTACACCATCCATTACCACTGTTATTTGGCTTTGCATTATATGTAAATTGTTTATACAAATATACCTATATACATTTTTATAAATATATTTATTGTTGCTATTTTGAGTTTTATTTCAGTTCTACTAACCAGTATATAACATAGCAAAACAAGATTATTATTTAGTATTTTTGTATTTCAGAGTATTATCTCTAGATTCATTTGTTACTTCAAAATCTCAACTATCGTTGATTGGCGCCCTTCTTTTCTCTTCTTATTGTTCTCTTTCTATAAATTTATTCCCAGTGACCTTCTTCAGTTGTATCACGTTTGATATTACCAGGTCTCATTTCTTTCTTGTCTCATTACTCATTATCCTTGTTATGTTGTTTTATATCTTTAAAGCCACAATCCAGTGCATTGAAGCTAGCCCGAACACTCACTTGAGATTTAGTGTCTCTTTGGCCATTTAAATTTGTTCCTCTGAGCTTAGCCATATCTTTAGTATTTTCATCACCTCATCTCTTCCAGTTCTTCGGAATTTGGAAGTTTTTACACTTCCTAAAATCCAATACTCCCGGAGTATTGAGCGTTTCAAAACATTCAGAAAGAAACATCAGCAGACTACTTGCGATTACTATTTACTAAAGGTGACGATAATGAACCACCAACATCAGAGATGACAGCAAACAAAGAAATAAATATTATAGAGGAAGAGGTAAAGTAAGCATTAATGAAATTAACATACAGAAAATCACTAATAGAGGACAGAATACTGAACAGACTCCTAATAGTATGGAGGACCAGATCTAACTAAACAATTACTAAAACTAATCCAAAAAATAATAGAAAAAAACAGAAGCTCTTAAGAATGGGAGATCAAACATCCTAATATATACTCTATAACAGAGAAACCTATCATATGATGGTCGCCACCTTCGGTAGAAGACGCCACAATAAAGA